TATGAAGACAGAAGAGCGACGGGAGGCCTATAAACTAGCCAAGCTAGGACGGTGGTAAGGTCCAATTTCACCCTCCAAATGGTCGGAGGTTCCAATCACCGAACCCTAATTAATTGCCCCCTACCGGGAACTTAATCGCAACGCTGAAGAACAACCCCTAATATATATATGGCACATGATTTTACTCTTCAACTTGCCTTCTTCTCACCATATATGTGTATACTACTATACTGAGGAATATTAAAGTTGCTGGGACGTCCCTTTTGTAGGGTATGGTACCCTACCCCTCTTATAAGAATGAACTTCGTTGTGCAAATGTCCCCCACACAAACCAAATCATGACTTGGACAAAAGCTGGATGCATTGACTGCAGGGAAGAAAGCCTCCTCAAAAGGAAGAGAAGGACCGACGCGAGAGCGAGACTGTGTCTGTGTTGGTTTTGCTTTTTATGTACTACTGTACTGTTCTCCATTACGTTGTGCTTTGCAGTCTCGGCTTTCCCTTTTTTAATGCTCTAGTGGGCCAAAAAGGGAGCCCATATGTTGGCCCAACCAAGAAAAGATGTTCTGTCCTGTAACTTGCGAGTTTGTGACTCAGGAATCCGATCCTAAGAAGAACACGCATAGAGGGAGCAAGTGACGCAAGAAAGGCCCTCAGCACTTGGCTGGATTTTCGGTTAGATCGGTTATGGCCGATAACCAAAATGTCGGTTACCGGTTAACCGCGACGCCAGTCTCGCTCGGTTACCGGTTAGTAGCTCGGTTAACCGTGGTAACCGACAGGACGAGTATTCGGAGAAGAAGGAGAAGAAGAAGAAGGTGAAAGCTTTGGCACAGGAGGCGACAGGCTTTGGGGACTTCTCAACCTCAACAAATGGCGCTACCCCAGGAATATCTTCCTCCGCTCCATCGTCACCAAGCCAGAACTCCAATCTCCCGAGGCTGCCGCAGCGGCCGCGCCAGAGCCGACTCCAGATCTCCCGCCTCGGAACCCGGTGGGCGGGGCCCGGGTTCACTTCCCCAATCCCGAGGACGCCATCGAGGTGTTCGTCGATGGGTATCCTGTCAAAATCCCCAAGGGGATGACGGTTCTGCAGGCTTGTGAAATCGCCGGGGTTGATATCCCGAGGGAAGATGGTCGTTTTGCCATGCCTGCTCTTCCTGGTTTTTAACTCCACCGGCGGAGGGGAGACGGTCGATGGAGGAGGGTTGGGCAGGCGGCAGGGAGACTGGGAGAATGGTCGACTGAGGGGCTCAATTAGGGTTTTTGCGGAAGAGGAGGGCGGCGTAGTTTTAGGATTGAAGGGGGAGGGAGTTAGTTTTGCCGGTTAGCCGGTTAACCGGCGGTTACCACCGTCGGTTAGCCGGTTAACCAGTAAAGCTAACCTCGCTACCGAACACCGTCCGATTTTGTAATTTTCGGTTAGCCGGTTAATCGGTAACCGCCAGTTATCGATTTAACCGGCCGGTTAACCGACAACCGATAACCGAACGTCCAGCCCCGCATGCCTGGAGGGGCGATCTCGGCTACTAGATGTTCAGACTTTAGCGTGTCTGTGCAAGCAAATGACGAAGGCGTTCAACCCTTAGACAAATCGCAAGAGATGGATTTAGCGTGTCTGGGCAAAGGATAGATGATGAACCACAGTGCACAGACGAATTTACCGACTGGACATGATCCACGAAGGGTGTTCTCTGCTGCTTTGCAGAATTGCAGAGGACGGGGTGGCCGATCATGTAAACAATGCTTAACTCATATGAACAAGAGTCGTGCCAGGGGCAGCTATTATCTCCACAGCAAGTTGCTCACTGCAACTGCATTTCGTAGTCTGTAATTGAAAACTAACAACTTAACAAGTCACGACAGAGAGCGGCATTGGGAGCCAGAACTCTGTACTTGTACTACCAAGAAAGACCACTCAAATTGGAATCCAGCTTTGCCAAAAGTCAAGAGGCCTAGTTAAATCCAGAGGGTGGGAAAGCCTGCAAGTTGCAACAGAAACAAGGAAAAGCCTAGGCAAGGATGTACAGCCAAAGGAAGGCCGCTTTCCTTTACCCTACACCACCACTCACATCAGTCCTTACGCAAGAGGAAAGCTTTCGTTTCCTCATCACTGCGAGACCGATTACGACTCTCCCTCAAAAGAAAAATAAGACGTACCATGATTGATGGACCTCAACAAACCAGGCCACAGGGACTACTTTTATCATCATCTCGCCTCCTCTTCCTCACCATGCAGAAGAGAGCTAATGGCTCTTCAATAGGACACTTCAGTTCAGAATACTTGCATTTCACAGACAATAGCAATACTTGCAAGCTTAACCGTTCTTATCCCCTCCCTGTACCCTAATGAATCAAGTGCAAGAAATTCAATGGTCGAAGGAACTACAGGCTGAATCAAACAAAGGTGAAGAACCAAGCACCAGTTACCTAAACCATAGTCAATGTAGGTGAAACCAATATTATGTACAGAAACAGGAACATCTGATCCCAGAATTCGAAGAAATATCAGGGGTTCATATCACTGCTAAAAAAAACAAGCAACTAACAATCCATTGATGCACTTTTATTATGGAATCAACCCTTATCCCCACAATTTCATAGTGCAACCAAGACATTCCCCAACAACCCATTTCAACACACTACCCACTACTAATCCACTAATTTTGAAGAAGACAGAAGCGAAGTGAAAAGAGTTTATAAGAAAAGATTTAAAAAAAAATGGTTACAAACCAAAGTACCCAATCTATGAGAACCCATCATTCCATTTCATCGTATCTCTCAGAACCTCTCCACCTTGTCAGCCTTGATGACCGGATTGGCCTTGGCGATTGCATTCTTCCCGGCTTCCTTGAAATCGTAGTCACAATCGTGGTTCTCAGGGTACCTATGAGACCCGCAGAAGGTGCTGCCGCACTTGCACTTGAACCCCGTCAACCCAACCCTCTTGTTGCAGGTCAAGCACCTATTCGCCGCCTTGGCCACCTCCGCCGCCACCGCAGCCACTTTCGCCTCCGACGATGACGACCCAGCTGCCGCTGCCGATGATTTCTCAAGAGCAATCACATGCTCCGCCGCCGTCGCTGCAGATTTAATGTCTGCGGCGATCGATTCAGCTTCCGACACGGGCTTCTTCGATTTGAAGCTGAGGGTCTTCTCCATGGCGGCCTTGGCCGACGCCGCTTGCTCCTCGCAGACCCGTATTTCCCTGTAGCACTTGGAGCAGAGGTTCATGTTGGACGGCGAGCCGAAAAACCCACACCCGTTGGCGCAAAGCTTTGGCTCCGCCGGTGGGAAGCTCGTTCCGTCGTTCTGCTCCGAACCCATCTTCTTTTCTTCAAGGAGTTTCAGTGAACCCAGCAACGGAGCTTCAAAGAAAGAGAAACCAGAGAAAATCAAATTAGGGTTTTATCGAAACACGGCAAATCTTCCCCCCACGATTCCCCTATATCGAGAAGCCAGAGAGAGAGAGAGAACAGGGTCTTCTCTGTGGCTATCGATTTCGTGTTTATGTTTCCAAGCTCTGACTGAGAATTCAGAGGAAAAGGGCAAATTTTGATTTCGATTGGAGTTTTCGAATTATACACAAGGCGTAATCTAAATAAATAACGTTGCTTTGTCGGTTAATGACTCTTCTCTCTTTCCCTTCCTTGGCAGGGAAGACCCGGTATTTACCGGTTCACCCAGGAACAAGGATTTATTGTTGCCGGGGGTATTCTGGGAAATGTCCGGATTGGTAACTCCGAGTTAAACAAGGAGACGACAATTCGACAAATAAACAACACACGCGTGAGTCTTACCCAAATGACGGGAATGCCCCCTGTAACCGTGCCTAATGCGGTGCCGTATGTGGACAAAATTGACTGCAATTTAAATACAATACAATAAAAAATAAACTAGGAAAAATCCAACTAATTAAATCCAGAGTGGAATTCCGGCAGGTTCTTGAGGAATCCAAAATAGACATTAAAAAATGGATTCCAGCTCACCGAATTTAATCTCCCCACCAGAAAAATCGCCTGCATCCGCGCAAGTTTTACTTGCATCAACCCAGCCAGGCAACGAAATCTAAACCGTCCAAATTCAAGCGATTGAAAAGATTTGGGCGTCTCTCTAATCTACATCAGTCGTCACGCCAAAACCAATCCCCCTTTTCAAAATTTATTTTACATTATTATTATTATTACTATAATTCTTAAAGAAAATCAACGAATTTTAATTTCTGGGTATTTCTCCAATCAAACAATCTCGGTGAGATCGTCGCAATTCGGAGAGAGCCGTAGCCGGCGGCGAAGGCGATTAGCTATCAACAATTAAAAACTCAGGAAACGGAGAAGAAATAAGAGACGGGATCTGCTAATTCTTGGATGAAAACGCGACCCCCCCCAACAAGATAAGAAACCTCACGTACCTTAGGTTGACGATTCCAGCAGCTGAAAATCTTCACCTCCGACGGCTCGCCTCCGCGTTCGTTTGAGAAAACTGGAGAACGATTGACGAAATTGAAAGAAGGGGTTCGATTATTGACGAACAAGAGAAAGGAAGGAAGAAAAAGGGGGAGAGATGAAAAGGACAAGGCGAAGAAGAAAGGAAAACCTCGAAGAAAAGCCAACCGAAAAGGAGAAGAGGAAAAGGAAAAGAAACCCAGAAATTTTTTTGAGTGGATGAAGATTCAACCCAGAGCCACCAGCCCACCACCGCACCCCTCTCTCTCTCTCTCTCTCTCTCTCTCTCTCTCTCTCTAGGCCTCCGGTTTTATGTTGATTTTTCCGAAGGCGCACCCACCACCTTGCCCACGGTTTCTTTTTTTATTTTTCTTTCCACTTTTTTTCCTTGGTGGCCGATGGTGGAGCGCGCACCCATTTACCTTATCGTGAACCCCCACAATGCGAGCTGTTCGATGACCATTGCTCGAGCCTGTCAAGTTGTCATGACGTCATTCGTTCAAAATCCAGCGGTCTAGATTCCGTCTACCTTCCCTCGGTTTCCAATCGCGGTTCCGTGTAAATTCAGTTTTCTTCGTACGATTATTTAAAGAGACAAGAGAAAAAGGAGGGCTGCTTTTTTGCCGTTTCTAGGACAGGGGGGCCCACCGCTCTTGATTCTTACGCAACGTCAGGAGGAAATTGGGCTGGGAGTTTGTTATGCTCGCTATTTGGGCCTAAACTGGTCCAAAAGGGTCCGGCCCGTGTCGTTAGACCGGACTGGTATGACTTTGCCAGAACGAGTAACGATCAACTTGAACTCGAACAACCTTTACTAAGCAGAATGTGAGAAGGGAGCAACAAGGCAAAGCAATGTATATAGCTTTTCTTGATCATCACATTCTGAATCTTATTTCCCCTTTGACAAATTCTACTCTGAGTTCATCCCAAAAGCAGGGCTTTCTTCATTACTGACTTTACACTTTGTCCCACAGCAAACCCTTCTGGTACTAGCAGCAGCAGGCGCATCAACAGCATTTCCAGCAGGATCCATTGATCTCCTCTCCATGAACTCAGAATTCTCCTTCCAAACCTCCCCATTCGAGTAAACCTCCTTCTTCCATATCGGAACGGTCGCCTTGAGCTCATCTATCATGAACTTGCAAGCATCCAGCGCGTCGCCACGATGAACAGCTGACACGGCAATGAACACGCTGGTTTCCCCTACCGGAACCGCCCCCAGGCGGTGTGCCACAGCAATGGCGTGGATCTTCCAGGTAGCCCTGGCCGAGGAACAGATGGACTGGATTTGGCGTACTGCCATTGGCACGTACGCCTCGTACCGCAGCTCCACCACTGTCTTGCCGTCGAAGGTGTCACGCGTTGTCCCGGAGAATGTTGTGATTGCCCCTGCCTGTGGAGCGCTGACGTAGTTGGTGTATCTGGCAATGTCGACCGACACGTTTTCGTCCAGAATTTCGATGAGGTTCTTGTCTTCGTTGTTGTGCATTTTTGCTTTCTTCAAGTTGGAGTAGAGATAGCTCTCTGGTAGGTTTAACACAGAGAACACTCAGTAGTCAGAAGATGTGTGGAGAAGCAAAATGGTATAAACCATGTTAACAATGTCTGCACATGATGATTATGGAGGTCGGTCACAAGGTTTTGGTTTTGAAATTCAAGAAACTTTGAATGCTTAACTATAGAGGAATATCAGAACTGCAACGCTAGCTGTAGGACCGACACAATGAATGGTATTGTTAAAGGAGCTTCAAATTCGATCTCAGCAGCAATCTAGCTTATGGGAAGCAAGCCAAAGAGTTAGAAAAGATGAAATGCAGCAAATATTCAATTCCCCTTGTTTTATAGGTAGATGAACAAATGGAACTTTTATCTTATTAAACATCCTATCTACTGCAAATACGTGGCTTGACCATCCCTTTCTTTAACTGGTCAAGTTCCGTAGGTTCGGGAATCAGGATGCAACAGATTCTAGGCATCTATTAGCCTGTCCAGTTTCAGTTCTAGGAATTTCTCAGATTTCTGGATTTGGGCAAACTATGAACAAATTTGATCATAGTTACCTCCCCTCCTGGGAAGGAAAACCTTAACCATTCATGAATTCCGGACCTGGGTTAGAAGGCAGAGAAGCAGTTAACTGCAGCTTTCTCTGAACTGCCGCAGCAATCATTCTATACCCAGTCAATGGTTGACTCTGCTATAACGGAGAAGTAATGAAGAGGATATTGGAAACTAGATTCATGAATTGTATAACTCCTTAAACTACGAAGAAACCATTAATGAAATTCCAAAAAAGAGAATTAGAAGAGACATGATCAGCTCGTTATCTGAAGGAACAAACCCCAAAAACACGAGAGAAGAAATCCGCCATACCTGTGACGATTTGGGTACCAATCAGCTGAAATTCTTCACCGTCGTCGACGAGCTCCGTGCCTCCGTCAGCGTTATCTTTGAAACAAGCGGGACGCCGTGGGGATTGATTTGCCGAACTGAGAATAAGGGATTCGATTATCGGGACATACGAAGAGAAGATCAATCCAGAAACGAAACCCAGAAGTTGGATTCCTTTTTAATGGATTAAGATGGAACCCAGAACCGCCGCCGCCGCAGCTCAGTTCGGGTGGGCTGATGGATGAGGTATACAGTTCTGAAGGCCACGGGGCAGGGGAAACCTTCTGTCCTTTTCCAACCCAGAAAGTCCACTTGCAGTTGTCACCAATAAAACATTTTTTCTTCTTTTATTTGACAAAATGTCAACTGTTTGCTAGACATAGAAATATAACTTCATTATAAAAACAAATTCAATATGATAATCCAGATGGTGAATGCTGAAAATACAATAAGACAATCCAGAATTCCAGATGCGTCAAGTGAGTATGCAAGTGCAACATATACATATCAGACATAAACTTCTTGCATTGAAACAAGTTGGACAGTAACCACAAGAAAAGATACACAGATAACAGATTGACTACCATACTATGTAACTCTGTTAAACATTATAAATTATCGTATCAATCATCGAAGTGCGCAACAATCAACCTATATGTTTATTTTTTGAAATCTTAAATTTCAGACTCTAATATATATAAATACTATGAGAAATATTTATTATTTTCAACACTAATCCATAACTCTAGAACTTATAAATAAAGTTTAAAGTCATATCTGTCCACGTACTAAATATGAAAACCTAGAATGTAAGGATGCATAGAACATAAATATGAAAACCTAGTACTGACTTTATTTGGCACTGACCTTGGTTGTATACATGGAGTTCTGGCATGATGAGAAGGTGATCAAGTCAGCCAGCAAAAAAGTGGCTACTAATTGTGACTGATTAGAGGAATTTTTTGGTCCTTGGGATCACGTGTTTGACACTTATTTAGTGGGAATTATGACGTAAGTTCAACATATTTTGCACAAATTAAGTTCATCGACGTTTTTTCAATCCTCATTTGATTTCCCCCTCCCACTTTTTGTAATCTCCTAAAATTAGATCATGTATATACTCACCGCGACAAAAAATGAAAAAAAAAAAATTGAATCTTCCTTCATGATATACATATCATAAAACTCGATAAGTTCAATCTGACTTCCTCACATCGCTTGTCACTATTATAATCCTTAGCCATAAGTTTTGATTTCCGTTTGCAGATCACCATATAATTCCATCAAACAAAGCATTCCAGTTTTGTGTAGAAATGCACATGCCAAACTAATCAGAATTCAGAGCAGAATGTCACCAAACAGCACAATAATTAGCTCTCAATCAACTAATGTACAATTATGTTTTTCCTCTTTCTGTAGCACTTGACCCTTGAGCAGGAAACCTGGTCGAGCTATTAGTCGCATAGGGGGAGGCTCCATTCCATTTCATAGCCATCAATCATTATGACCCATTACACCCTTTCACCCCCCAAGTTTTGTTGGGCAATCTTACATGCACATATAGCCTTTTCTTATTGGCCTCTCTTGCAATTATTAGCCCAAAGTATAACCTGATCAGCAGGATAGCCCATCCTCCTCATGTGCAAACTTCAAACTCTTATTAGTGGCTTTCGTTTCGAGTACAACAACCTACTAGTAATGTAACATCTAGTCATTTGCACTCTTGGAGTTCAAACTTCAAACTGCTATATGTATGATCAAAATTTGTAAATGAGACAACTCAGGAACAGTGCAAAAAAGGACCCATTGGAGGAATATTTGATATCCCCCCACATCATTTGCATATACTCAGGGGTCGTTTGGATGTGGAAATTTGGAAACATGGAAATTTGCTTGAATTTCCACATTTTACAAAAGCAAGGAATTGGTTGTGGAAATTGAGTGAAATTCCATGTTTGGGAAATGGTTTATTTTTGTGGGAATTGGTGGTATGGAATTTTGAGGAAATACAAGAATGCCCTCTTTGATTTATATACAAGGAGTGGTTCATTACCAACTATTGCTACTGTGTTTCTACTAACGACTAGTTGCTGCTACTAGCTAGTTGTAACTAACTCTGCTACTATTTAATAACCGCTGCTAACTACAAAATCACATGCCAATTAGTGTGCAAGTACCCATTAAGACTTTGTCAAAAAAAGTACCCATTAAGACGAGATACCATTTTATACATTTATCTCCCAAAGAAAGCAAAGATAAAGAGAGCAGCATAACAATCTGAACTATTCTCATCCACCATCTGATCAGAAACAAAGTAATGGAATCAAATAATTGAAACCATAATGCACTACTTCCCACTTCTCTGCTATAAATTTGGGCCACAGTTGACTCTGGTTTTTGTAGCAAACCAAGCCATTTCTTTTAGCCTTGGATCATACAGCAACAAGAAATGTGTATCATGGCTTCAATGAAATGCTATCGACCTACTAATCATGATCCATGCAACCAGGCTAACCAGTCGCAGCACTCCCACAGACAAACTGACCATGGCCATGACATGATGATGGTGCCATCCCCTGCTGCTAACTGTTATGGCTTCTGCTGCTAACTGCTAATACTGCTACTAATTAGTGAGAAGTAGACTTGTGCTGTTGTTTTGTGAATGTCGATCAATTGCTATGACAGATAGTTCCATGCATGTATTACCTGCCTTTTTCACATATCATCACATCAGTTGAGTTTCCAAGCTATTTCCCATAACAAATAGTTCCACACAATTAGCGTCCACAATAATTCCATGCAATTTTGTTCACCCAAAACTATAGATTTAAATCTAGAATCAACAGTTAAATCCTAACTTGACTAGCGACGGACCCTAATTAATCGACAAAGAGAAGAGAAAGTACCTGAGGACGGCTAAATCTGACGTCGATCCCGTAGAAAAACTTTAGGAATCGCATAGGTGTGGAATGTGGATTACTTGGAGGCGGAAGCTGGTGGGGGAGAACGAGATCGTGGTAGCGGCGGAGAAGATTACCGAGCTGGTGATTGGAGTTGTTGGGGCGACAGGGGAAGTGAATTCGGAGGCAGCGGCGGAGACGGTAGAGCGACTGAGAAAAAGCTTCTCCTTCTCTCGCGGGGTACCACCGAAATCGGATTTCAATTTTCTCTGAGCTTGCCGTTATTCTTCGTTCCATGTGGTCGTCGTTGTGGAGCACTTCGTACCAACGAGAGGGAAGAAAAAAGAAGCAAGATGCGGGAAGAAAACGGAAGGAAGAAAGAAGGGTCAATTTGGGCAAGAAAATTGCTTCAATCGCAGTAATTGAAATTCCGGGGGGGTGGGGGCCGTAATTCTCATTCCTGCGTCTGTTGTAATTGGGCCAATTCCCACGGCCCAATTTCCATATTTATTTTTTGCTGCCAAACATGAAATTTCCAGCCAATTACTGCATAACGTGGGAAAGAGGGCCAATTCCCACGTTCAATTCCCACAGCCAAACGACCCCTCAGTGTTCCATGTGTGAGAGGGTACCCTCTATATTTTGTCAAAGAATATATCGATTAGGGAGAAGCGCGGGGCAGATTTCATTTTAGGGCACTTGAGGATGATGGAGAAAGTAGGGAAGAAAGACTTTGATATATTGGTTGACTATTTGCACATAGGGTTAGAGCTTATAATGTGTGTGTAAAGTCATGGGTAGGTAGTAAATATTTGATCCATATAGGATCAGATGGACCGGACCGAACATTATTCGATTTGGTTATGTGTTTGTGAACTTTCTCAAGACAATGGGGCAAACTGAATTGAAGATCGAACCAAATAATACTAAAATGCATTGATCCGACGCTAATCCTCATTTCCCTTTATATTTGGTCCGTTTAGAGTCGCCATTCGACATAGTGTATTGTGTCCATCCGTGGTGTCTAGATCTTGAGGAATATATGGGAACTTTTTTTTTTTTTTTTTGCTAAGGGGAATTGATGGGAATATAATTGGGGAGGTAGTAGTAAAAGTGGAAACAATAAGGGAATGAATAGTTGGGCTAGTTTAATGGTATTTGTAGTGACCATCATACTATCTTCATCCAACTCAATAATGATATTCCCTTTGTTTTGCCATCTTAATGTTATTTTGCCCTATTCAACAATGGCATGATTGTGGGTTACCTGGGAGTGGGATAGTGCCTACACCAATACCATACACCTTCTGCTGCTGCTGCTGCTACCATGTCTCAGCACATTCTATTTCGTATTTTGATCATCATCTCCACCTATTACGGTTGTGACTTTGTGTTGATTATTACATATAAGACTTGAGAATTGAGGCATAGGAATTTGGTTGCCAACTACTCTATTGCAACGGGATTCATCACACTCGTGGCGCGCACTTCAACCATCTCCATCCAACTCCAATGCTTCCCCTTACTCTTGTACAATATCTTCGTGACGCCAGACTAATACAAGTCTTGTACCGTCTACTTATCGTGAGAGAGAGATCAAGTACGTGAACATACAATACGCGAGATAGACCTAATGGCCGATAGCATCAAGAGGGCCAGGGAGACTAATATGGTTTGCAGCCTAAGGAAGCAAGTAAAACTCATGACCAAAACAGGAAGAAGAAAAAGTGACGACTGTGGTAGGCGGTTTGCTTGATTTCATTACTAGTTTTAATTAGGCCATGCAGATGTGTCACTGTGCGTTCAAAGGCAAAGGCCAAATTAAGAACAGAGAAAAGAAACAAAGCAAGAGAGGAAGGGGGGGTTTGTGGGTGCTTCTTCTCCAGGCCCTCGATGAATCATTTGACTCTTTCTTGTTCGATTGTTGTGTTCAAACCAATTATTATTACCACTATACATCCCAAACAAAGTCTTCTAAAGGGCGTGGGATCGATAATGAATTGAGAAAGAAGACTAAAAAAAGGATTTAGCTCCAATTGGGGATAGTTTACTAGCCAAAAGTAAATATATGGTAACAATCCTACTGTTCTAGTTCTTCAGTCTTCACCATTAGTCCCCTAATTGTGAGCAGACTTGGGCATAGTTTACTTTTGCAGCGTCTAAAACAGTTAAGAAGTGGGTCCCTATGACAAGTTGCAGCCAATCCATAATAATAGTCAGTTTAAGCAAAGCAACCATGGAATTTTGCTGTCGCCAGTCATTTTCTTAACCAGCCAGCCAGCTGCTGCATTCTCAGGCTCACTTGTGTTCATTATTACCGTTCAGAAGACATCACAACAAAATGCTATCACTATCTCCCTATCCCAGTCTATTATTTACCTCCTGACTGAACAATTAAGAAAAGGAAAGAAACAACCGTCTCCTAGTTTAGTCTCCTAATAACAGCATACAAACTAACAGTGATCCTTAATCAAATTGAAGATGTATGCAAAGGGAAGAATCGATCAGAAAAACTTACCCTTTTGGTGGCAGCAAGAGAACTGGATGCTGCTGATTGTATTGCACCAAAAACAAACCATGTAAATGCGAAAGTCATTATTGCAGTAGTAGACAATCCATGGAAGGGGTTTTTGGCCTTAGTTGATGGCTCCAATGACTCGCCATCAGATATACAACGTTCATCATCACTTCAGGACTTTTTGCGCTTCTTCAGTTCCTTCAAATTCTTCATAAGAGAGTTTCTTTCTTTCTCTTTGGCATCACGAGTCCCCAACTGCAATCATTGCCCTGGACAAACAAGGAAGGAGCTCTCCCTCTCCTTCTCTATCTAATGCACACCCCATCACCCCACTACTATATAGCTAATCAATGCACTCACAACCTATTCTTCGTTCATCCGAGTAGTTATAGCCATTCTGCAGATCCCTTACCTAAAACCCAATTTCCTCCCATTTCTCCAACATTTGTAGAGAGGAATCATGTGCATCATGAGAGAAGAAAGGTCCCCTTCTCCTATGGAGGTTTCAAAAAGAAGGCATCAACCCAAGAAACCTAAACTTCAAGTCATTGGGCTCACCAGGTAATGTAGAGGTAAAGAGACTAAGAGAGTAGTACCTTTAATTCCTCTTCTTTCTTAGTTGGTTAAGTTTTACTGTTACTGAAGGTCATCACTTTCTTTCTATTGAGACAGAAACAGGAGAAGGAGTGGTGAGGGATACAAGGACATGGAGCTGAAGAACGTGAAACTATATTTGCAGAATCGAACCATCTTCGAAGAGAATGAGAAGCTGAGGCAGAAAGCTTACCTTCTCCACAGGGAGAATCTAGCTCTGACGAGGGAGCTCCAAAACAAGTTTCCTCATTTGGATCACTGCTCCACGACTCTTGTACAGAAACAATAGTTACTGCCAAGAAAAAGGAACTGCCTTTCTACCAATCCCTTTTCACTAGCTCTAGCTTCTATGTATTATGAATCATCAGAAGTATTAGTTTTGATGATTATACATAGCATTCATGTTTATGCCTGCTCTGCTAGAGAAGTAATGAAGTGCATGCAAGTCTTCAGGTTAACTTGTTGTGTTGATGGTCTATAAGGAGGCTACACCAACTCAGCAATCTAATGTCTCGTATATGCTTTGATCAGTTTTATCAAAAGAAAAGGTGATCTTTCCATCCTATCTACTATTAGTACCTAATGTTCAAACATTACGGAAACTATTAGTTCAATGTACTGCAATAATCATGCCTACCCTACATAACTCCAACAAGACACATGTATTTCTCAACCATGAACTGTATCAGCATGCAAAGGCTTATTAAAATGGCTGTCAGGAGAGTTAACTTGACATTATCTAGCCGGGAGATGGATAACTAACCCTGGAGGTAATAGTCAAACTACTACTTCCACATTTCTGAAATGTCAAATGGTTCGTTGATTGCATGTTGAAACAAACAGCTGTCTAAACAGCTCAAATGTTAAAATGAAGTTGTGAAGGTAACCACGGAATGTCAGCCATGGCTGCAATTGCTTCCTCATTTATTAATCAAAGATATTTACAAAAATAACGAGGACAAAATCAAAATGAAAATTCGAGTAGTTTAATATTTTACAAAGCCTCAGCGCCTGTGATTGACAAACTCACCAGCTATGATGATCAATCTGCATCCAACCATTTTACTACAACAATGAATAAGTCAACACTCTATTCACCAACAAAAGCATTCCCCCTTCCATCCACTTCACAGCTCACCAAATCAATCACTAGTCCTGAACAAAACAGAAAGTGATAACTAAACATTGTTCATATGGAGTACATAAAGAAACATTTTACTTCAGCAGATCAGCACCAAACTAGGCAATACCACCTTCAAGTTGGAGGAAGCAGTTTGAATCCTGCTGTTGCACACAAAAGACTGCATAATCTGGAACCTTGTGTGTTCAAAAATCCTTAGCACGTTCCTCCGATTCTCTGAAAATTCGAAATGCGGCAATGGCCATTGTGGCATTACCAATGACAGTCAAAGCAGCTTGAAGAGCCACCAGTACCTAAAATAGTTGAAAGAGACATCTTTAGCAACCACATCCCCTAGAAGGCAGTTTCAGCAGGTCTCGTTCTATTATTTTCTTGTTTACCTCTAGAGACTCTGCATTGTAGAAGAAATGCCATGTGCATGCACAAAGAGCTCCACCAAGCAAAGGTACCTGATTCCAATTTCACTATTAGCTAGGTAAACCCAAGAGATTTTGCACTGTTACAGGCTAAAAGGAAGAAAATTCAGATGAACACGAGGAAACAGGAGTAACTCACCATACCCCAAGAGAGCCCCTTCCAGGTTTCAAACCCAGATTTCTCCCCGTACTGCCACACCAATGCCATTGCTGTAACCCTGTCGAAATCGAAAAAAGAAATTTACCCATTAGAACAGAAGCTCCAAGAGAACAGGAAGCAGGAAGAATAGTAGATAAAAAGAGAAATAGAACCCACCACTCCACAACGCTCGACACGTGGACAGCCCAGGTGGGCAAAGAGAGCGCGTTAGCGGGCTCGCTGAGCTCACCCACCAGAGGTAGGTTCACTGCGAAGGCGGGTTCGATGACGGTCAGAACCAGTCCGGCCCCAACGAGACTGGCGACGCCATAATTCACAGGGTTTTTTGCGGCCGCGATGGGTGGAGTTGGAAGACAGACCAGTTTACGAGGAACGGGAGAATTGGGAAGGGTAGGCTGGGGTTTGCGAGATGGAACGGGGATTGAAGTGAAGAATGATAAGGTTGCTGCAGTGGAAGCCATGGAATCTTAGAGGTCCCTGTGTTCTGTGCAGGGCGCAGGTAGTTGGGACTTGGGAGCAGTTCGATTTTGCTAGAATAGTCACAATAGGGTGGTTAGTAGCGCCACCGGCCGGCTGTAACCAGACTGGCAACACGTGGTCAATTTCCGCCGGGATTACTCGACGGCTGAACCAGAGATGCATAAAATATTCAAGGTGAGAACGGGCCTGAAATGCTGGAGCGAAAGGGAGTAAGCCCACGGATAAAATTAATAGAGCCCGTGTTCATTGGGCTTCGAGCTCGGGCTTAGGCCCAGCAATGTGCACAGATTGGAGAAGTAGGGTGAATGCGATGGTGTTGAGGGCTGGGGATTTTACTTTTTAGTGCAAATCCTTCCTGGGGTGTGTTTGGCGGCGGTAACCACGATTTGCACAGAGAGAAGAGCCAGCACCGGCGAAGAGAAAAAAGACAAGAGAGGAGAATCAAGACTCCGCCTCAGCTAGCAGTCAATCTCAACGGCGTCATTGCCGGTTTTCGTTTCCAACCAGACTGGATCATCTGTTTGAACCAGAACTCGGCTTCGGGAAATTCAGCTTCACTAACTGCTATAGTGAGGCTGAGCAAGGATGGCGGACATTATAAATATGAAAGACGCAGAGGCGTTGGCTGCGGAGTGGGGAATTGACACATCGCAAATAGATTTTGATTCTATAGAGCTGCCGCCGGGCGAGGATTTCGGCATCATCAGGTATTTTATTCGAAACCCTAATAACAATATCGAACTCTGTTTCCGCCGGTGATCTGACAAGATGGAATGTACAAATTATTGTGGGTGATGAAAATGGTGTTTTCACTCTTTGATTGATAGTGACGATGAAGATGTCTATCAAGAGGAACAGCTGGATTCGGACACAGGGTTCGGCAACGTGATTGTTGTGGATAATCTTCCGGTTGTTCCGTTGGAGAAATTCGAGAAGCTTGAAGGGGTTGTCCGCAAGATTTATACTCAGATTGGGGTTATTAAGGAGGATGGTCTCTGGATGCCCGTTGATTCTAAGACCAACAAAACCTTAGGCTACTGCTTCATTGAATACAACACTCCTCAGGTGCTACTCTGCTTTCGCTTAGTCTTTTCCATTCAGCTCATTGGTGCCCAAATATCCGGGTTTGTATGTGTGTGTGTGAGATTATTGATGGTGTGATATCAACTCACAGGAAGCGGAACTGGCTAAGGAAAAGACCAACGGGTATAGGCTGGATAAGTCTCACTTTTTCGCGGTGAATATGTTTGATGATTTCGACAGATTTATGAGAGTTCCAGATGAATGGGTAGCTCCAGAGATCAAGCCATATGTCCCTGGGGTAACTAGATTCTGTACTCCTTTGATGTCTTGCTTACTTCATCTTCTGGCATGGGATGGAAATTACTGCTCCCATTTTGCAAGAATCAATTGTCTTACATGATGCATCTTTGTAAGTACCCAGCTTACTTGAGAACAAGGTGTTGATAGCCACTTCAGACTCCTTTTTATATTGTTGTTCAAACATGCTTATGGTTTAGTGTACGTGGATTTGTGTATTGCCTACCAAGTGCGTCTATAATGGATGTGTGACATCAGTTTGGGATATGCATATGCAGTTTTCATATCTAACAGTTTTATGAATATTTGGTTGGAACTTTCTTTGCCCTGCCCGTTGCCAAGTTAGAATCAAGAACAAATACATTGTAGTAGCTTATAGCCTGTGTAATATACATATTTTAAAACATTTTGTTAATCAATAAAGAAAGCAATAGCAGAAGCTCCTGAGGGTAGTTATGTTTGCTTGTGCGTGGGAAATGTCACTCTCTCATTTAGCCAGAACTACTGGAGGGCCACAATCAATTCAATTTACCATGCGCAGCTGCATATGTGGGTTGGTGTGACATGTTCTTTTCTCTTTCATGCAGGAGAATCTCCAGCATTGGCTGACAGATGAAAAAGCGAGGGATCAGTTTGTTATTCGTGCTGGCACAGATACTGAGGTTTTCTGGAATGATGCCAGACACTTAAAGCCTGACCCTGTCTACAAGCGAACGGTAAGTTCTGCATGCTCATTTTATCCGATGAATATGGTGATCCATTCCAATTCCTTTTGATTTGTTTTCGTTTCTGATAAGGTCTTCTTGTTACTGGAAGTGCCTTTTTTATGCAGCAAGTAGGAGAAATTAGTTTCCTCCCTTCTTATGGCTGCTAACTACACAAAAAATAGGAATAGATCTTAGAGAAATGTGTCATGAAATTGAACATAAATTTCCAAACAAATAATTATTGGGTATGTGTTTATTAGGTGTATGTTATTTTAGTGGTTGATTATAACATTAATCTTTTCTGATCATGATCCCTGTTTGCTTTTACAGTACTGGACTGAGAGTTATGTTCAGTGGTCTCCACTTGGAACCTATCTTGCCACAGTTCACAGGCAAGGAGCAGCTGTTTGGGGTGGTGCAACAACTTTCAATCGACTTATGCGTTATGCACATCCTCAGGTCTTCCAAACCTTTCCCATTTGTATGCGCGTTTTTTATGACTACTTGTTCCTTTTTAATTGGGTTTAGTACTTTTGAATTCAGGTTAAATTGATTGACTTCTCCCCGGGTGAGAAATATTTGGTTACCTATAGCAGTCATGAACCGAGCAATCCACGTGATGCAAATGTGAGTGGTTTCACTAATTGCCCTTTTCTTATTATTCTTTTACTTGCAAGTTCTCTTTAATGTATCATTACTCTACTAATAATTTATTCTATTTTTTTCAGAGGGTGGTAATAAATATTTTTGATGTAAGAACGGGCAAGGTGATGAGAGATTTTAAAGGGAGTGCCGACGAGTTTGCAATTGGAGGAGCTGGTGGTGTCACTGGTGTTTCATGGCCTGTTTTCCGGTACTTTTTTCTTCCGCAATTTCTGTTTTTTTCAGGTATGACTATCATTTTAGAAACCAACCTAACAAATGCCTCTTTTCAACTTTTTTACAGCTGGGGTGGCGGGAAGGATGACAAATATTTTGCTAAACTGGGCAAAAACATGATTTCTGTCTATGAAACTGAGACTTTCAGCCTCATTGACAAGAAATCCATGAAGATTGAGAACGTGATGGACTTCACTTGGTCCCCAGCTGATCCAATCATTGCACTCTTTGTTCCTGAGCTTGGTGGAGGGAACCAACCTGCTAGGGTTAGTCTTGTTCAAATTCCCGGGAAACAGGAACTGAGACAAAAGAACCTTTTCAGTGTCAGCGATTGCAAAATGTACTGGCAGAGCTGTGGTGATTACCTTGCTGTGAAGGTGGACCGCTACACCAAAACAAAGAAGAGCACATACACAGGGTTTGAGCTTTTCAGAATCAAAGAGCGTGATATCCCCATCGAGGTCTTGGAGCTTGAGAACAAGAATGATAAGATTATTGCTTTTGCATGGGAGCCTAAGGGTCACAGATTTGCAGTTATTCATGGTGATGGTCCTAGGCCTGATGTAAGCTTCTATTCAATGAAGACTGCTCAACATTCTGGCCGCGTCTCAAAACTCACTACGCTCAAGGGAAAACAGGCCAATGCACTCTTTTGGTCACCTAGTGGCCATTATGTCATCCTGGCAGGAATGAAGGGTTTCAATGGTCAGTTGGAGTTTTATAACGTTGATGAGCTTGAAACCATGGCTACTGCTGAGCATTTCATGGCTACTGATGTTGATTGGGATCCTACTGGAAGGTACATTTATGTTGCAGTTTTGGGTGGCATACATTAAGATTGGCCTTCATGCTGTACCCTGATCCTGATATGTGTTTGCTTTTCAGGTACGTTGCTACAGCTGTCACATCAGTACATCACGAGATGGAAAATGGATTCAATATATGGTCATTCAACGGGAAACTCCTCTATAGGACACTCAAGGATCATTTCTTCCAGGCAAGTCCAGTGAACAATCTTTGAGTTTTTTTTTTCCCACTTAGAAAAACATCCGTCTTTGATTTAGCATTTGCTAGAAAGTAAACTTCTTGTTCTCAAATTTGTAGAACAAGTATCTTATCTTGGATTTCAGACAGTTGATTTCATGAGATAAGCGATAGGTTTGTCAAGTAGTCAAAACAAACACACAAACCTCTTGGAGGCTTATTTTTGGAGAATCATGATGGGGAATGACCAAGTCATTATTGCTCTAGTTGTACATCAACACTACTCTTTGTTGAATCAATTGGAATCTAGATGCTGATATTCTGAATCGCTGCGTTTTTGCATAATACAGTATCAATGGCGCCCAAGGCCGCCTTCATTCTTGAGTGCTGAAAAAGAGGAAGAAATTGCCAAGAACTTGAAGAAGTATAGTAAGAAGTATGAGGCAGAAGACCAGGATGTGTCGCTGCTGTTAAGTGAACAAGACAGGGAGAAGAGACGTTTGTTGAAGAAAGAATGGGAAGATTGGGTGAACAGATGGCAGCGGCTGCACGAAGAAGAGAAATTGGAGAGACAGAAATTGAGGGATGGAGAGGCCAGTGATGAAGAAGAGGAGTACGAAGCCAAGGAAGTTGAGGTCGAGGAAGTCTTGGATGTTTCGGAGGAAGTCGTTTCGTTTGAATAGAGACAGTAGATGTAGTCAGCATGTGTTTGCATACATGGACCATATGCAGTATACCCTCGTTTGCTGTTTCTGATTCAGCTTAATCTTGTGTTTTTTTCTTTCTTGTGTTTGAACTCTGAAGACTACTGTTGTAAGTTTGTTAAAGAACACATTGCTGCAAATCTCGTATGTACTTTTATAATGGCTGCTGAGATCATGGCTCAATTTTGTTTAGTTTACTGTGGCGTAAGATGTGCTGCACTTTCGTTTCCCTTGATGTGATCCCTATTTGATATTGATGTTCTGCACTGAGAGTTTAGTTCAGTGGTCTCCACTTGGAACCCACCTAGCCACATTTCACAGGGAGGAGCAGCTGTTTTGGGTGGCGCAACAATTTTCAACTGATAAGTTTATTCTTTACTTCCAAAGGGTGTAATAAATACTTTTGATTTAGGAACGGGGAAGGTAGTGCTGACGAATTTGCAATTGGAGGAGTTGGTGGTGTAACTAGTGTTTCATGGCCTGTTTTCCAGTAGTTTCTCCTCTGCAATCTGTCTGGCCTGTTTTCCATAGTTTCTCCTCTGCAATCTGTCTGTTTTCTGCTACTTTCCTGTATTTGTGATCATTTTGGAAAACAACCTATCAGATATTCAGATGCCTTGAGTACTGTAAAGGAAAAAGAGGTTGCCAAGAACAAGAAGTGCAAGGCGGAGGATCAGGATGTGTCGCTGCAGTTGAGCGAGCAAGACAGAGAGAAGAGATGGTTGTTGAAGAATGGATGAGAAGAATGAGTGAGCAGATGGAAGCTGCTGCACAAAGAAGAGAAATTTGGGGAGACAGAAATTGAGGGGTGTAGAGGCCAGTGATGAAGAAGAGCAGTACGAGGACAAGGAAGTAGAAGTTAAGGAGGTTTTGGATGTGTCAGAGGAGGTGGTTTCATTTGAATATGGACACTGTCCATTGGACAGTAGTTATTGTAAACATGTGCTTGCATGCAGCCCTCATCAGTGGTTTCTTTCTGATGGAGCTTCAGGTTTTTTCGTGTGTCACTCAGTATGGCCATGCCACACCAGCTAGTCCTGCCCTTATATTGTTGAGCTTGTCACTCAGTAGTATCAAGTAAAACACGAGCTTAATGTATAAGTAGCCAATCTAAAATACCAGCTTCTTTCATTAAAGCAAGGACCACTGTTACCTTCCTAGCACCTGCTGCAACAGTTCTAGAGATAACAATTTTGGAAAGCTAGAATAAGAATGCCACACAGCACACACTACAGGAGGAAAGACGAGGCTGGGGGAGGGATGGTTACGCGGCGGTGGGGCATGACGCAAGGAGTAAACTTGGAAGAAGAAGGTTTTGGCAAAACACTCACGGGAATGCTACTCCCAACCCTAGCACCAACGAAGGGGGGACAGATCTGATTCATAGATGACCCGAGATTCAACGGAGTGGCCATGGGGTGATTCTGATAAGGAAAGAAAATGAGAAAGTATGCACTTGGCTGGATGTGAGGAAAGAAAATGGGAAAGATGAGACAGATTGAACTACTTGGGTAGAGGTGAGGAAAGAAGAAGGGAAATAGAAAGAAAAGCTAAGTAAGCGCAAGTTTGGGAGTGGTGAAGAAGGAACAACTTAAAAGTGGATGAAACTCGATTCTGTGAGTTCTAAGTGAAAGGCATCATTGATGCACAACTAAGGGGAAAGAGGGAGAAGTAGCAGTGGACTGGTGCTTTTTTGTTAAAACAACAGAAAGTCTATTTGCATGTCTTCCTTATCCCTTTTCCCCCTATACTGATATGAGAAAAAGACCGAGTCCCTTTATTTGCAGAGAAGGGGAGTAGGAGTAGGAGCAGGGGCGTAGCCAGGATTTTATCGAGGGTGGGTCCGTTTAGAAAAAATACATACGATAAAATAGTTTTGTTAGCTTTCTAAATCATTCACGATATAATTTTGTATTTGCAAAAACTTGGTAAATTAAATATACATCAAAACTATCAAGAATATCACCATATATGTATCAAACAATTATTTATGATTTAATTAGACATTTCCTTTTGAATTGTGTTCTTCGTCAAGACCGTTTAGTATCATTAGCTTGAGTTGTTAGGAAAGATTTAATAATGAATCTTATACTATTAGTATTTACTAACACTTTCATGCTTACTACAACCAACTTATGTGTGCTTAAAGTTTACGTAAATTCGAATATCATGTGTCTAACAAATGGGGTTCCAATGATTCGTACAAATGACATCTCGGTCAACCATTCTCAATTAGAAGTGCCCTAAATTTCATTCTCAATTAACTATTATACTAATTTACTCATTCTCGTCCTTAGAAAATATCTGTTACAATCTCCCTACCCCTGATTGAAATAAAATTATTTTTACAAATGAGTTATGATTTGGTGGAATTTTGTTGTAGATATTGAATACATACATCTTCAATTTTGGGCGAATCATATACATCATTATCATTTGTACATAGCTCGTTATAAATACATTGAATATGTCAATGCTAGTTATTAATCATACATCAAATATTTCAAAGGTCAACCAATTTCATTTGAATACGTATTATTTTTCATATCCGATTAACTATTGTACCTAATTGGCCATTTTCTAACTCGAGCCAGGGTGGGTCCCGGGTCCCGGGACCCACCCTCTAACTCTCTCCCTCCGCCCCTGAGTAGGAGTGTGATGATGTTCTGCCCCCTCCCCCACTCTTTTCCTTAGTTGTAGGTTATTGTAACTTTCACCATCATTCAAATTTTCCTGCAACGAGTGAAAATAGGAAGGGTATTCTTCTCTTCACAATAATCTATTTGTTTCTTATTTATTCCTGGAAAAAAAAAAGATATACAAGGATTTGAACCATGGTCATCTTCAACAATGACAAAAAGGGAAATGGATTTGGTCTGTTCAAAGTGGAAGATGCACAAAGAGAAAGAGGGAGAAGCAGAAGTAGAAGTGGTGGACTAGAGATTTGTTTTTTTTTCCCCCTTCTTTTTTACCTCTTTCTATCGTCTTTATCTCTTGCTTCTCCCCTTAGCAGAGAAGGTGTAAGTAGCAAATAACATAGCAGGCGATGATGGTCATTGGTTTTTTTGAAGTCTCCCCTTATCAACTATTTATGGTATTCATTTACTGGGAATACACTTTGTTGGTTTACCTACAATTGTGTACTACAGAGTCTTCTTTTCCTTTTCTCTGGCCTTGTATCTGTGTTTGTATAGTGATTAGTGTGTGATTTATAGTGTTGTCTGATGAATTGTCTATTTCTCGTGTCTTCTAATTTATGAATTGCAATAGTGACTTGTGCTTCTTTGTTGTAGCTAAATCATTTTGCTTCCTTTCTAATTTTCATCCATTTGTTGAAAACTTTAGCACGTTTGTACCGACTTCAATGGCAATCCCATTGTAGCGTTTTCCTTTGATATGCCATGTGAAAATGTGTATTGGAATAGTAGTTGAAATATTCACAAAGGACTGAAGGAGGCAGAACTAATTGCGGTTGAGGAAGCATGACTTGATTTGTGGAGTCCAATTGGGGGTGAAGATTAGAAGGTCGTCGACGCCGCATTCCCTCCTCCCCGCCGCTGCCATTCTCTCCTTCTCCTTGCCCTTCATATGCTTCTGCCTCTTTAGATTTATGTTGGTCCATGCATGGTTGATTGATTGAATTGAGAAAAAATAATTACAACCCATGAACTGGCAACGCCATATGAGCATTCTAACATATTAACAAGGCTACTTCCAGAGAAGGAAGCTAAAGAAAAAGGCTAAAGGATTAGGATTCTCTGTACGCATATTAGCAAGGTTGCTTTCAACGAAGGAGTCTAAGGAACAAGGTTCTCTCTACCAAAAAAAGAAGGCTATAACAATGCAGGACAGTTAGAGACTAAGTGGTGGGAGAAGCCAAATAACAATGTCTATCTTTGGTCCGACTTTTAGAAGTGCTTTTCAACTTCAAAAGCTGAAGCAGGCCAAACACCTCTAAGGCTTTTAAAAACCCGAAAAGCGCTTTTATATAACATAATCAGAGCTTCTGCGAAAAACTGTTTTGAAAATACAAGATTATCCTTACCATATTTTAATTTTATTTCAGAAAATATAATTTTATTACATTTATATCATTTTTAAAATAAAATAAATTATAAAATCATATTATTCAATATTAAAGAAGTCTAACAAGATTCATTTTAACTACATTTTATTATTTATAATTATTATTCATATTTTATATTACAAGTCCTTTATAGTCATTTTACACAATTAAAAAATACTTCTAATAGTTTTTGCAGCCGAACACTCAACTACTTTTTTTGAAAAGTACTTCTCTAAAAGCTCAAGCCAGAAGCTGCTTCTACAAAAGCTATAGCAGGACTAAACTGAGCCAATATTTGGGGTGCGGATGCTCCAATTGGGGTTTTCCACGTCCCAATTAGTTCATTTTCATCCACCAAACCCTATTCGGGGGTGCATACCCAATTGCTTTATATGGATTATAAATTCGGAAATATTTTTAGTCCGTTGTATTTTAGGTAATTTTTTTTTATAAAAGTAACATTTTTGCAAAAAAAAAGACTCACAAAATACTCGGGTGTTACGTATAAATATACATATATGTAGGGATGGCAATAAAACCCATGGTCGCGGGTATCCGACCGCCCCCGACCCAGTCAACGCGGGGAATCCCCGCTTTGACCGGGTATGGGGCGGGTATGGGTAAAACCCGCAAAAAGTTTGATGGGTATGGGGCGGATATGGTTTTGACCTCCCCCGCCCCATACCCATACCCGCCCCACCAAGAGAATTTCTTCACATATAAAAAAATATGTGGATTAAATTGTAATCTATCAATGGTGATGAGGATAACTCAATGAAATAAATAATAGAAATGCAATTGAGTGACCATTTTAATCAAAATCTAATTCATTTCCCTCAATTCTCCTTTCACTCTTTCACTTTTCCCCTTGTCTACAAGATTATGTTAGTTAATTATTACTTAGTAGATGTATAAGAGTTCGAAGATAATAATTTGAAAAATATTATACTCTATATTATGTATTAATGGATGTTTTAGGATCATATACTTTGAACCGTATTAAGAAAATGATCGTGTTTTGTTGACTTCATGATATAATAGGTTCGTTTAGAGTAATAATTAAAAATTTTCTTGTAAATTTTAGGTATAATAATGTTGGATGTATGGGTACGGGTATTACCCATGGGTACCCGAAACCCACGGGTATGGGGATGGGTTTGCATAACATTCCCCCGCATGGGTATGGGGCGGGTATGGGTTTGGGTATTTGAAGATGGGGATGGGGATGGTTTAGACAAACCCGCCCCATTGCCATCCCTACATATATGTTATATAACTCATGGAAAGAGGGTGTCATGTTTATCAAGAAACATAATTAATTAAATTGCATTTTGGCAATATATTTCATTATTTGAAATGACTCTCTTCAATGAAAAATCTTCATTTCATTTAATTATACTACATCTTATCGTTTTCTTTAAGCAGAAGTTAAAAACAAATATGAATATAGGACACTCAACGAGTAAATCAAAACGTAAGAAGACAGGTTTCTCGCTTATCATCTAACGTCACTATACTTCACTTCAACAAATGAGAGATTTTGGTGAAATCATATATTAAATACACTAGTCATATAACAAACACAAAGTTTCAATAATAAAAAATTTATATTCCATGCTCTCGATTTCTATCAAATGTGAATTTTTTCTTTTCAAATACATATAAAAGTTATATCGTACCCGTTTTAAGTTTGTTCAGTTAAAATAAATAAACAAAAATATAGAATTGTTTTGTTCCACTTCCCATCTGCACATAAAATCTCGACCACATTTCATCATCAAGAATTCTTTGATAGGTGTTGCTTCATTTTCTAGCCCAGCCGCTTATTATGTTGAGGGTCCTCTTTAATTAATTTGTTCCTCATTAAATATTTTTATTGATTAATAACATCATCAATATTGGGTTGCTTCAGAATTGGGATACTATTTCTTGCAAGCTTTAAAACGGAATCCCCTCGATTGTATTAAAAAAAAAAAGCAATAGAGAACGAATATGCCTCGAAAATATTTTCCATTAATTATAACGTTAAGCACCTTTCTCTTCTGACATAATTAGCAAGAGAAATTTTAAAATACTATATAGTATTGATGCTATAGGTTTTTGTCTTTGTGGTATAATTAAAAATTGTACATTTACGTTATGGTACAACTTAAGATTGTATCTATACTTTTTGTACAAATTCTTTTATGGTACAACTTGAACTTGTACCTTTATGTGATGGTACAACTTCAAGTTGTAAAGTTGTATCATAACATAATGGTACAAATTGCTTTATGGTACAACCTAAACTTATACATTTTATGTTATGGTACAACTTTGAGTTGTACATTAAAACACCAATGTTATATAGCATAGTAGAAATGCTCAATCACAGGGGGGAGTGGGCATCAGACCAACCCGTCAAGCAAATATTGCCATGCTTGCTAAAGGCGGTTGGCGTCTTCTCCAAGACAAAGAGAACATTTGGCAACAACTGCTCCTCACTAAGTACGGGGTCAGCGCCAGAATCTTGATGTCCTCCAGAATACAAAGGGAAGTTCCTTCACCTGGCGTAGCTTAACTAAAGCTGTCGACCTCCTTAAGAAAGGTTATGCGTGGAACATTGAAAATGGGAAACGAACTAAATTCTGGGTGGATCCATGGATTTTGCAGGTTCCTCTCAAAGAGAAAGTGATTGGAGTTATCCTGGACGATATGGAGAAGGCGGTGGTAGCCGATTTTGTCCGAGATGATGGTAGCTGGCGAACGAAGTTGTTCAATGGGCTTCTTCCTACGGACATCAAGAACAAGATCATGAGCACGACAGTCGATGTCCTGGCGTCAGAAGAAGACTCTCTTCTCTGGTCAGAGACGTCGGACGGCCGCTTCTCCACCAAATCAGCCTACGAGCTCCTTACCAAGCAAGTTCAGCAGCAGAGCGATGGGATTTGGAGGAGAATTTGGTAGCTGTCGGTTCCTGAGAGAGTGAGAAGTTTCGTTTGGTTGTCTTTTCAGGGGAAGATCGCCACCAACTTACTTCGACACCAGCGGAAGGTGGCTGCTTCTCCAGACTGCTCGCGGTGCCCTGGCTCCTCGGAGACGACGCTACACATTCTCTGTGACTGTGCCCCAACCTTATTCTTTTGGTCCAGACACGTTCCGCAGCAGCAACAACACGAGTTCTTCAGCGCCAACCATGATCTTTGGTTTCGTAGTAATCTCACGAGCACGACCGCCAGCGCCTCTGGGATTAACTGGCCAGGCTTCTTTAATATTGCTATATGGCTGTTGTGGAAGAATCGCACGATAGCTGCTTTTAAAGGCCTTGGTGCAGCTCTCACCGCTCCGTATCTCACTCACTCAATCGTGGCTAAGAGTAAGCTGTGGACTGATTCTTGGCACGCCCCGGAATTGTTTGTTAGCCACAAGAAGCTACGTGCAGAGAGAGTAGTGGCGAACATCAATTGGGTTCCACCTTCAGAAGGTTGGGTCTTAGTGAACACGGACGGAGTTTCAAATGGTAATCTGTGTTTGGCCGGAGCTGGGGGTGTTATTCGAGATTCGATGCGCAATTGGTTAGGGGGATTTGTCGTGAAGATCGGATCAGCTACAGCAGCTTTGGCGGAACTCTGAGCCATTTTTCATGGTTTGGATGTGGCTTGGAAGCTTGGACACCGCGTGGTCAAGCTTGCTTCGGATTCTCAGCTGGCTATTCAACTTATTCAGGACCGCCATGACCCCATTCACCCTTATGTCACTCTGTTGAACCTCATTCGCAGGAAGATTAGCCAAGATTAGCTGGTTAGTATAACTCATACGTACCGCGAAGGGAATAGAGTTGCGGACTGGTTCTCGAAGCACAGTCTCGTCTATCCCTACGGGGTGCATGAGTTGACTGTTCCGCCGCAGGGTGTTATCTCGATCCTACATGATCATATTAAGGGTATTACTTTTGAGCGACGGATTGTGGCAAGCTCCTCTTCTTCTCCTTGACTCCCTCTCTTTGTAATGATTTTCTTGTTCTTAGCCTCCGCCTCCTTGTTATGCAAAAAAATAGCAAAAGTGCAACCTGGCAATTAGAATAGTGTAATAATCGACGTTATTCCTAAAAATGAAACAAGTTATTCATAAGAAAATGAAAATACGCTTCCAGGACTCGGCCGGGTCACACGACTCAACGAGTCCCAATTTAGCCAAGTAACTCATCATTTTTCCGTGACGGTGGAGTCACGACAGCAAAGAGAGCGAAAATGAGGAACAGCACCGTTAACGCCACGTCATCCGCGTCACACGTCTTCTCCCGCCACGTCACGGAACCTCCTGCGATTAAACCGGGAAGAGCAATCGCGGAACGGTAAATCACCAAGAGGAAGAAGAAGAAGAAGAAGAAGAAGAAGAACAAAGAAGAAAAAACCTATTTTCTTCAGCGAGTAGAAAAAGGGCAGAGTGAGAAAATAAAAAGGAAAAGGAAGGAAGGAGAGAGAGAGAGGAACGTTGGCTTGGGGGAAATTATTAATGGGGTGGGAATCCTGGAAACAGAAATTCCTGTAAGTGGGTTCTCTCTTCTCTGTCCCTTCTTCTTCTGCTGCTGCTCCTCCTCCTCCTCCTCCTCCTCCTCCATCGCCATCTCTCTCTACTCCTCCTTCCCTCTCTCTCATCCTCATTCTTTATGTTCCTTCTATTACGATCGCGTATTGGATGATCCAAGAGGAAGAAGTCGGGAAGGAAGGGGAATTCACGCACTGAGAAATTCTCCTCCTCTTTTTCTCGGGTGCCAAACGTGAAATTTCCGACCTTTTCCCCTTTTTAGGGTTCTTAAATAAAATTTTTGTTGGGATTTTTTTTATTTCCTCCAATGACTTATAGAAATGATGATGACAATTCGGTTCCGGAGCTGAGGATGAGAGTAGATGATGATTGCAATGGAGGAGACAACGAGGGTGTTATGAATAAAATTGGGTATATGAGATTGAGAGGCGAGGATGGAGTGGAGGAAGAAGAAGGGCTTGATGATGATGATGACGGAGTAGGGAAACCAGGATCTGGTTTCTTCTGTTGGAGGTGGAGTTGGTGTGTCGTTTGGTATTGGGTTAAGCTTGCTGCTCTGTTTGCTTGTTTAGGTGGCTTGGCTTTCGTTGTGCTCAAATGGGTTGGTCCCTACTTCATGGACAAGGTAACCAAGAGTCCTTTTTCCCTTTCTCAGGCCTTGAATTTGTGTTTACTTAATCATTAGTGTATGATTTCCAGTGTTGTTTGGTGAATTGTCGATTTCCCGTGTCTTCTAATTTGTGAATTGCAATTGTGAGTTGTGCTTCTTTGTTGTAGCTGACTTATTCTTCTTTCTTCCTGATTTTCATCCGTTTGTTGAACACTTATGCTCATTTGTACCGACTTGAATGGCAATCCCATGGTAGTGTTTTCCTTTGATATGCTCTGTGGAAATGTGTACTTCCATGACAATCCCACGGTAGTGTTTTCAGTTTGTTGAACACTTATGTTCATTTGTACCGACTTCAATGGCAATCCCATGGTAGTGTTTTCCTTTGAGTTGCATGTTGCCCCTCAACAAAATTTTGGCCTTTCTAACATCTTATGCCTTCTGCAGCAAATCATTCCCATCATCAACTGGGAGACGACAACCTTTAGCACTCCAGAGCTGGCACTTCTAGTCTTCTTTTCAGTGGCATTCTTCCCAACCCTACTCTTGCCGTCTTCACCTTCTATGTGGGTAGCTGGAATGACTTTCGGTTATGGCTATGGATTCTTATTGATCATAGTTGCAATCACTGCTGGAATTTCACTTCCATTTTGCATTGGTACTCTGTTCCTTCATAGAATTGAGGTAAGAAGTTACCACAGGTTTCTTGTTGTTTCTCATCGGATAGGTGGAATCTTCACTCTTTGATCTTGATGTCTTGATGTGTGGCCTCTTTCTGTAGGGATGGTTTGACAAGTATCCAAAGCAGGCTTACATACTGAGAGCAGCTGGTGAAGGGAATTGGCTCCACCAGTTCCGCTCAGTGGCTTTAATACGAATTTCGCCGTTCCCTTATATTCTGTATAATTATTGCGCTGTTGCAACGCATGTCAAGTATGGTCCTTATCTGCTGGGGTCTTTGGCGGGCATGGTTCCGGAGATATTCGTGACCCTCTACACGTAAGACCTCTTATCTTATATTTTTGTTCCCTTCTTTTTCATCCCTGGCTCCTTTTTTGCTGATTCTGCATGCCTGAATGTTAAGTTGTACACAATTACCCATCTGTCATGACTTGTCAATGTGAGTTATTTGTAGAGATGATGAAGCTGGTTATACACATTAGGGACGTGTGTGTTAGAATAACTTACTTGTTCAACTCACCCATTTCTCATTACCTGATGTTAAGTCGTACACATTTTACTTTCTTTCCAAGCACTGACGGCATACTTATCAGTGTGCTCAAGGTTGTTTGCACTCTGTACTGTGCCACTGTGGATTCTTTCAAATAATTACATTGGTTTTGATCAGTTATCTGGGACCGGATGGAGTAGCTTGCTTTGCTGCATACGTGTTTGGTGGAAACTATTCCTTGGGACCATGAGGTCACGGGGAATTGTTAGACATGTATTAAGCTTACATTTCCAATCTAGTTTTTCTGCAAGTTTAGTTTTCATATTGAATATGGAATCTCTGTCTAGGACAGTTGGTGGAAACTCTGGAAAACATGTAGCTAAGCTAGAGGATTTGGAATATTCCAATTTCTGGGAATCATATTAGGTAGGTGGGCTAACTAACGACTCTATTGTCATAGTTAGCTTGAACAATTGGCCTTCATTATCATTAAAAATTAATATCTACATATACCTGTATGTTGATTGATAACTGGAAAAATGCATGTGCTAATGAGTGGGAGTCTTGATCCAATTATTACAGAGGGATCCTTATACAGACACTGGCAGATGCTTCACAGGACGAGCACGATCTGTCAGCATCACAGATTGCTTTCAATGCCATTGGCTTCTGTTTCACGGCAGCCACCACGGCGTTCTTCACGCTCTACGCTAAAAAGCGGCTGAAGGCACTGCAAGACGAACCTCTTTTGGCGTAGCTTCTTCTGATTCTTGTTTCCTGGTCCAGTAAAGGAGAGAAAGAAAAAAAACGTTGCAGCAGCAACACAAGACAGTCACAGCAGTTTGCATGTATAGTTTTGAGATGATTGAAGCAGCAGGATGATGAAATTTAGCATCTTCTTGTTGAAATAACTTCATCTGTACACAAAAGGGTGCACAGTACGGGAGCCTGATCGTGGACGGCGGTGTGTATAGCAGCGTGGGACAGGAAATCTAAAGGACAGGCATCTAACCTAGTATAGAAACCAGCTTCGTTTTTGCTTGTTTTTTTGGTTTTTGCTATCTGCTTCCATTCTGACTTCTCTCTTCCAAATTCTTTATTTCTTGCTTTCTATCCCCCAATTGATCCTTTGTATATGATTGAGCTGTACCCCTGAAAAGGGCTGAACCTGGAAAATCTATCAAAATTCAGAAGTCTGCTTGACTTGTGAGCCAAATTTTAGGTGCAAATTATGCAGACGGCAATGGTTCTGCAACACAATCATTGAAGTCAATTATTTGTTTGTGATATGAATAGTTTGTCGTTGGAAAAGCTGGTGATGGAAATGGTCGGAGCAGGGCCACGATGGACAAGGGATTTGGGCCAGAACTTGTAATGCTGATATCCTTCGGCGTCAGCCCAACGGTCTGACCTCTCTTTTGGGCTCAGTATGGCCACAGAAGCTGCACTGTGTAGGCCATATGGCATTTTGAGTGAATATTTGTTTCTACTTGGAACAAAAATAACTTGCACCCTTTGTGGACATCCGATAAAATAAAAATAATTTTTATAGTATAACAGTCGATGAAAGTCTTCTTGTTTATACTTTTGTAATAATCAATACTATAATAATGATGTTTTGATACTTGAATCGAAAACTCGATTGAGAAAGATAACAGAGTACAAACAATAAACTATTCGGGTTATTGTTTATGTAATTAGTCAGTAACCAATGAAGTTCATCACATGCTTATCGAAAAAGTAACAATTGCTCAATGAGGGGTGTTGGGGGCTAACTCTATACATCATAGCGTGCATGCATTATATTTATACTGACATCTTGTGGTTCATATTTTTTGTAGTAGGGTTTGGAATTGGAAGTAATAAAGAAATGATCAAGACAAGAACACAATTTTATTATAATTGATTCCCTCCCATATTAAATATATGTTCATCATTCAAAAAGATTCTTCAACTATAATATTCAGCTTGGCACCTTCTTAAAAAAATCATTCGGCCAATGACACCTAACAAGTGCACATAGAGCGAGCAAAACAAGGGCCTACAAGAAAGCCAACTACTAATTATGGATTTATTGGCTAGAATTTGATTAATCTAGTTTCATAAAAAAAAAACTTGTTTTTGGGGCCATAATCATGTGTGGACCACCGGAGTTGCCAGCTCAGCATAATTCATGGCGGGGACGGGGATCACCGTCGGATGCATCTAAAAGTGGAGTGGTTGGCGAGGATGGTCCCCACGTGGACATAGTCAAACGCGGCAAAGCATGAACGATGGACGGCGAGGATGGAGTGGACCACTTTCCTCAAGTGTGGCACCACCGGAGAGACAGATTGGCCACACACTTCATTCAGCCACACATTAATTAAACCCATTTTAATCCAACGGTCACGATTCTGGCGTTTTCCCATTAACTTTTGTGGGACCCACTCGCACCCTCTTATTAATTTTCCTACTTTGGCGTTGGTACCTTATTATTTTTGTTCCATTCTTTCTTGACCTATTTCATCATCGTCTCCTAATTGTTTGTCTAATCAGTAATCCCCTTTTCTTACAAAAATAACAATGTGACGTGTCATGGGCAAGGTGGAATCAATCTTCATGCTCTTGTCATTATATTACTCCCTAAGGATGAGGTAATTCAATTGATTCGGTATTCGAGTTGAGATAGGCCAGTAAATTTGTATGATTATTAGATGATCATTGTTTTACGACTTCGATTATTTAGAATTTTAACATTATGGAAAATTTGTACCATTAGATGGAGAGTTGGTTTTTAGCTTAAAACATAGCTAAAGTGCATGATTATGCATTATTGGGTGGCTGATAACGGGTTTAGAAGGTTGATTAAATAATTCATGTTAAACTAGATATTTAGTTATGGTTAATGGTTGTTGGGTTGTGGGAAAGAACTATGAACGATTATTTAGTTTCATAAGCACTTTTAAGACACGCTCTATTGCTTACCTTTCGTATTAAACACTTAAAATATCTCTAACTAACAAATCGTAGAACACTTAAGAAAGACGCCATGTATGAAATGTTATGAGTAGATTTGAAAAATTCAACATAAATGTTGAACACACGAATAGATCAAATTTAATGACATATTTGTATAAGTCAACTATAGATGATCCATATAAATATTGTGGATGAATTATATATTTCCAATGACAACTCATAGGAGAGTTTTATTTAGAAATTTGAAGTTTGACCAATCAAAAGTTCGTATTCGTATATATATATATATTTGTGTAATTTGAGAATGAAGAGTTAATTCCTTTTGTAACATTTTGAGTGGTTATCTCGTGTTTGTTCACTTATTATTCATTATAATTGTGGATTAAATCATAATATAATACATTCCTCTTATATATACTAGCGTATGAATTGATTCTAACCACATATTTCAAACTACTGTATTCATTACTAAAGAAACAAAACAATACCCATCTAACCCTAATAAACAAAGAGAGAATCATTATTAGTTTATTACAGATGGATTAAAGACCCTAAACCCTAATGCCAATCCCCGGTCCAGCCCAAAACCAGAATACACCCATTGAAATCTGCCATTCCCTCCTCTATTTCGTCCTCTCTTAATTTTCATTGTTTGTTTTCTTTTCCCCTTTCGCTTTCTCTCCCAAATCGCGCTGTCTTTAGCTAAGTTTCCCCCGGCATTGAACTCCAATTGGGTCACTATGATGGTTCTCGCTGATAGTTATGAAAAGCTGGTGTCGACTCAGTTGGTGAAACGGAGTAAATGCATTTGCCCTCTTTCCAACAACACCACCCTTCCCTTCCCTCCTTTCCTCCCCAGCTGCCGTTCTATAACTAACCCTTGGGAGCTCGTAAGCACTAAGCTGTCTTCTTATCTCTCTCTTAACCCTGCTTGACTCGAAAGCTTCAATCTGTAAACTAATTAGGATTTGCAACAGTAATTTAGTAGCGTAAAGCTGCAACCTTTGAGAGCGACGAGAAAGAGTTGCTGAGGGAAAGAGAATGCACGTGGTTTCCCTCTTCAGTTGGTAGCATATTTGGAGGGGAATCACTCGTAAGGAGGCCACTTTCCCCCATTAATTAATTTTGCTGCAACCCAACTCCTGTACTCTGCTTCCTTTCCAGCCAAGGCAGTTTTAATTTGTCCCCAATTTCCATCTCTCTCTCTCCGAGTTAGTCCCTCCCTCCCATGCTTCTGTGCCTGCTACGTGTTCGAGAAATTGCTTCTTTACCAAAACCCACAAATTCCCTTTCCCCAACGGACAGCAAAAGGTTTGCTTGTAGTTTGAACCGTTTGATTGTCTTTGGTTTCTGTGTGATTATTGGCTTGCAAACAAAAAGTTGGGTGCTTTACTTCATATTCAGTGAGAACTGTGGGGGGCAAAGGGTCAAAAGGGACTAAGAGAGGACGAAAAGAAGGATGGTGCTGTTCTATTTAGTTGATGAGGTTATGGTCTTCACTTGCGGAGGTTCGAGGAGGAAGATTTGTTGCAGAGGAGAGGCTGACTGATCTTCTCTCTCTCCAGTTGTGGCGTTCTTGGCTTCCATGTTGTGCTGTCAATAATGCCAAACGGGTAGAGATCCAATTTTGTCTACATTTTATACTGTGAGCATGAGGAGAAGATTTGGCCAATTCTGTCTCCTTCATGCTCTTTTGCTCTTAACGGCTTGCCTCCTTGGGTTTACTGCGTTGGAAACGGTTTCTCAGTCAGTTACTACAGAGAAGGATATCTTGCTGCAGTTCAGGGGAAACATCACCAATGACCCTTACAACAGCTTGGCCACCTGGGTTCCTAGCGGCAAACCTTGCGAATTCAGTGGTGTTTTCTGCAACTCAGTTGGATTGGTGGAGCGGATTGTTCTTTGGAACACTTCCCTATCTGGAGTTCTTTCACCAGGATTATCAGGTTTGACATCTTTGAGAATCTTGACATTGTATGGCAACCAGTTTACTGGGAGCATCCCTCAGGAGTATTCAGAACTAAGTACATTGTGGAAGATTAATTTGAGCTCCAATGCTTTATCCGGGTCAATCCCGGAATTCATCGGGAATCTGCCAAATATTAGGTTCCTTGACTTGTCAAGGAACCAATTTTTTGGACAGATACCATCAGCTTTGTTTAAGTTTTGCTTGAGAACCAAGTTTGTGTCTTTTGCTCACAACAACCTTTCTGGTTCAATCCCTCTCTCAATTGTGAATTGTGTAAATCTCGAGGGGTTCGATTTCTCATTCAACAATCTTAGTGGCGAATTGCCTCCTAGAATCTGTGATATTCCTTTGCTACAGTACATATCTATGAGAAGCAATGTGTTAACTGGTAATGTACAACAGGGGATTGAAATGTGCCAAAGATTGAGTTTTTTGGATCTTGGCAGCAATGGCTTCACTGGTTTGGCTCCATTCGGGGTTATTGGATTGCAGAACATGACTTATTTTAATGTATCTCAAAACGAATTTAGTGGTGAGATTCCTGAGTTTGAAACCTGCAGCGAGGGGCTAGAAATCCTTGATGTCTCAGGTAATGGCTTTGATGGAGAGATACCACCAACCATTACAAACTGCAGAAATCTTTTGCTTGTTGATGTGGGATTCAACAGGCTCAATGGGGGAATCCCAGTTCAGATTGGACAACTGACAAGGCTTTTGGTGTTCAATCTGGGGAACAATTCTATAGCTGGAACCATTCCTACAGGTTTTGGATCCATTGAGTTGCTTCTGGTTTTGGATCTCCACAATCTCAACCTCGTTGGTCAAAT